ATGTGATGAAGGCATTCTTGAACTTGTATGTATCAGGAGTTCTTGGGATCCATGTCAGGTAGAAATATTCAGGAGGTTCAATGTTAGTAGATGAAGAACTGATTGTGATGTGGGGACAAATAAAATGACATGTCTTATTTTTCCCTTGCTTGGTGCAGTGGATGACCTAAGACCGGCTACATAGGAACTTCCATATAAATAACCACTATGTGCAAATTGTACGATGAGATTTTATGTATGCATAACTACCAATTATTTGTCTAAAAGATGATGTTAAAATACTTCTGATAGATTTTCTTGAGCATATTTGCCAGTTTCAATGCATTTCCAATTTGAGCGCAAGAATGCCTTGATATTTTATTCAAGGGATAATTTCACAAACCTCCCCTGAGGTTTCTGAAACTTGCATTGAGAACCCTCCAAGTTTTAAAAATTTCACCTAGCTCCCTTGCTTTTCAATTTTGGTAATAATTCAGTCCAATTAGGATTAAAATATTACTATCATGATAGAGATGACATTTATATTCCATGAATACCCTCTTCCTCTCTATATTAGTACAAGATTGCTTGTTAATAAAAACCTCTATTTTTTCTTTCGTAATAATATTAGTGTAACACTTTTTAAATTTCACTTACAAGCATTTATGTATTTAATATAAATTAAATGATTCAAAGTAAAATACTCATAAATAGCTAGTACTTTATTCATTTAATGGAAGAAACTCGTAAAGAACTGATATGTTATGGACAATTTTTTTTTTACATTCAAATACTTTATTTATATTAAATACAAAACATGCTAGTTTTTCTTTCGTAAAAATATTTGTGTAACGGCTTTTGAATTTTATTTGCAAATATTTATGTATTTAACATAAATTAAATGATTCAAAATAAAATGCCCATAAAAACCTGATATTTGGTTCATGTAATAGAGAAAAATCATAAAAAATTGGTACTTTATGAGATATTTCTTTTTGCTTATAAATAACTATTACTTTATTCGTGTAATAGAAGAAACTCATAAAGATCTGATATGTTATGGGCAAATTTTTTTTTTTTTACTTTCACATATTTAATTTATGTTAAATACAAAACCTATTAGTTTTCCTTTTGTAAAAATATTAGTATATCGCTTTTTAAATTTTACTTACATACATTTATGTATTTAACATAAATTATATAATTCAGAGTAAAATACCTATAAATATCTAGTACTTTATTCGTATAATAGAAGAAACCCATAAAAAGTTGGTAAAAAGTAGGTAATTTTTTTTTTACTTTCACGTATTTAATTTATATTAAATACAAAACCTACTAGTTTCCCTTTAGTAATAATACTAGTGTAACACTTTTTGAATTTCACATATAAACATTTATGTATTTAATATAAATTAAATGATTCAAAGTAAAATGTTCATAAATAGCCAATATTTTATTCATATAATGGAAGAAACTCGTAAAGAACTGGTATGTTATGGACAATTTTTTTTTTTTACTTTCAAATACTTCATTTGTATTAAATACAAAACATGCTAGTTTTCCTTTCGTAAAAATATTTGTGTAACGACTTTTGAATTTTATTTGTAAATATTTATGTATTTAACATAAATTAAATAATTCAGAATAAAATGCCCATAATCATCTCTACCTTTTTATTAACAAGCAAACTTATACTGATATAGGGAGGAAGAGGGTATTCATGGAATATAAATGTCATCTCTATCATCATAGTAATATTTTAATCCTAATTGGACTGAATTGTTATCAAAATTGAAAAGCAAGGGAGCTAGGTGAAATTTTTAAAACCTGGACGGGTCTCAGTGCAAGTGTCAGAAACCTCAGGGGAGGTTTGTGAAATTATCCCTTTATTCAAGAGTGCTCAGTTCTGGCGGGTACTCCAATGGGCTCAGTGGGTTTTCCTGTTCCACTCAGTTCATGTTAAATTGACTGATTCTTTTCTCCGGGGTGCGAGATTCTTGGAAAGAGTGGCTCTTTGGTGCTAGGTGGCTGTTTCAAATTTCAGATTGCCCTGCCTATTCAATGCAATGAGGGTCCTTCAAGACCGGTTGGGTATCAGCTGGGGGCATAGTTAACAACTTGTGTCATCCCCTTTGCCTTCCGAACGCCAGAGAAGACAGAATATCAAGCATTCAAAGATTGCATTGCCTCTGATGGTGGAAATGTTGTGCAAGATAACACCTAGGAATCTCCACATCCGGCAAAGCATGCGCGGACTAAAGAGTCTGAACCTTGGGGTCCTGGTACTGGTGGTCTGTCATTTAAGGATGCTCTTTTATCTACCACGAGCCTTCCACCAATTTACACAGGCTCAGATGATGAGGATCTAGGTCAACAAACAACTTTGAAGTCATGGTGAAAAGCTCTCATTCTCAAACTGTTGGGGAAAACCATGTCATTCACTTCCCTTTCTCCCGAACTTGTTAAACTTTGGAAGCGCAAATAAATACCCATTGGAGCTTGTTGACCTGAGCATGAACTTCTTTCATGTACGTTTTCGATGCAAAAAAGATTGCTATCTGGTGCTGGAAAAAGGGTACGTCCTGGTATATAATGGGAAACTACTTAACTATTCAGCCATGGAAACCGGATTTTAAGCCTGCCCAAAGCTCAACCTTAGTTTGGGCAAAGTTCACCGGTTTGCCTGTTGAGTACTATGATGACAGGGTTCTGTTCAAGATTGGAAATGCACTTGGAAAGGCTGTCAAGGTGGATAAGCGGACGATGGCTATTTCTGCTAGAGTATGTATCGAGGTTGATCTCGATAAGCCTTTACCTCCTTGCATCGGATCAAAACGTTTTTGCAGGATGTAGAATGTCGAGGCTTGCACATGATTTGCTTCGAATGTGGTAAATCAGGCCACCGGCGAGAGGCCTGTCCATGGATTAGTGACAGGTGTTTGAAGGAACTAAATGAACGGTAGGAGTACTAGGTGAAGCATGTTTTCTGAATACAAGCAGGGAGCGCTGTTTGTCAATTCCTCCTGTCTTGCGCCTTAATTTCTTGGATGAGCTAGTTTTCTACTTCGGAGTATCTGCTGTTCTGTCTCCTGTTGAATCATTCTGTGCTTATGCTTGTTCAAAGAGCACTGTCTGCGACTGAGTTGCCTCTCCTCATTTTTTGCCTTAGCTTATTCATATGCTTTGTCAATGAAGAAATTCTTGGCATGAGAAAGTGCAAATCTTTAGCTTACTTCACAAGCGCTATCAAGAAATTCGTTAACTTATGGCACGTTTTTAGATCCCAGTATAAGAAAGGTTAATCCTAAAACTATGACGAGTACTTTTATGCTAAAACAAAAACATAATTATCACTCTTGCATCCCTACCTGTTTTTCCCTATCCTTCAGAGAACTTCAATGAAAGTTTCATGTCAAATCCCATCACAGTTTTACACAGATTGGTTGGTAAGTGCCTTTGGGAAGTGAAGGGTGAACTTGCAGAGCAAAAATATGTGCATAAAATAGTTAAATGCGTCGATCACAGCTCATAGTGACCGTCTTTGCAAGGCATCCAACTTCATGATTTTCAATCTTCACAAACTTTGAAAGCAGGATTCTTGATTACTTTCTGTGAAGTTGACAACCCTCGAAACATTCTCAGTTTGTTGTTGTCCATTTGAGCGATATTGTACAAATACAGATTACTGTATTTTTCTTGTACTAGTTGACAAGTCATTTGATTTGTTAAACAAAGAATAAACACTAATAACACTTACTTAATTGTATTAAATCTTGATATTTAGTGGATTAAAAGCTGATAGAGCGGACTCACTTTTGAAAAACACTTGCTTAAATATTCCATATAATTTTTCGTTGAATAGTCAAATCGATAAAAATAAGACCATCACTTGTGCTAATCAAATAGTGAAAGCGTGACTAGACCAAAAAAAAAAATAATAGTGAAAGCGCGGAACTATGAAAAGAAACTTAGGTCCTGTTTGATAGCGTAATTCAACACTTAAATATTTTAAAAACAAATATTGTACCACTTATTTAATGTTATATATGCGAAATAAAATTATAGTTGAAGAATGTGTTTATAATACAAATAAATAGATTTGCGCAAATAATAAACTATCTAAACAAATTTGTACCTAGAAGCAAATACATATTTGAGATAATTTTTTCAGAAAAATACTATAACACAATTTTAATATAATATCTGTGAGATAAAAAATAGTTGAAAAATGTATTGATTATGCAAGCAAATAATTTTTGCTAATAAACGATTAATCAAACCATTCCACAGTAACACTTTTTTAATGTAATACGAGTAAGATAAAAAAAATGTATTTGTAGTGCAAACAAATATATTTGTACAAATAATAAACTATCCAAACAAATTTATAGCCAAAAGAAGTACAATAAACTAGTACCAAGATTAGGAAATTCAATAAGAACAATAAAAAGAAAAAGGCACCAACAACCACCATGATGCTATCTTTCTCTTGTTCCTTTTTTATTTCTCACAAATATATGAGATAAGCAATCCTAGATTCACCTTTGACTTAAAAAGCAACAAAAAAAAAAGAAGAAATCAAGTACCCAAAGTCTTTTTTGCAATTCTTCAAGATAGTATTTGATAAGTTGCCTCTAGCAAAATTATTTTTGTTATAAAATTTTTAAAATTAGTATTAATTCAGTCTCAGCTTTAGCTAATTTGTGACTAGACTTAGGCCTCATCGATAACAAAAATAAATTAAAAATTTTATAATTAAAAATTTATTAAAGCACAAAATGAGAGATTCATCAAATAACTTTAAGATTTTATTTCTTATATATATATTAATATATATATTTTTTGTTTTAGATATTATTGCCTCATGGTGCATGCACTATATATAAAAATTAAAAAAAGGAATCATGTACAATAGCATGTTGATTCCGATACCCAACAGGCAACGGTTTGATACCAGAGTTCAGCATCTTCTGTCCGCTAGTGCACGGTAATAACTCTAGGGTTCCCTCTATAAATAACCATACCCGTCCACACCAACCCACCTTTTTCTCTTTCTTTCTCTCTCTAAATCAGCGCACAGTAAATTTAGCCCAATTTTTTCCCACCCTCTAAGTTCGCCTTTCTTTGATTCTCTCTTCTGTTGTCGTCCATCGATCCGACTGGTGAGGTTTATTTTTGTAGGGATCGGAGGTGGATTAGGGAAATTGGGGGTGATTAATTGAGGAATTTTGAGGTGAATTATAATTACAAGGATTCGAAGATGTTTTTGTTGGATTGGTTCTACGGAATATTGGCCTCGCTAGGACTGTGGCAAAAGGAGGCTAAGATCTTGTTTCTGGGCCTCGATAATGCCGGCAAAACCACCTTGCTTCATATGTTGAAAGATGAGGTATAACTTTTCCATTCTTTTTCCTTATGCGTACAATATTTGTGGTTTGTTAACTTATAATTGTTGAGATGAATAAAGGAATTTAGCTTTTGTTTGCGGGGTTCCTTTGATTCATTGATTTGTTGAGCTGATTTTGTGGGTTTGGTAAAATTGTTGTTGTAATTTAGAGAAATATAGTTGGGAGTGGTGGTAATAGGTTTCCTAAGGTGTTTCACTCGATTAATGCTTATCTTTTTTGGTTCTTGGATTTTGTTGCACGTGGAGAAGGGAATTGTTGAAAGTACTAATTTGATGTAAAGGGATTTTGGATATTGAATGAATTATTTGCATTTTGTGGGCAGAGATTGGTTCAACATCAGCCAACGCAGTACCCGACGTCTGAGGAGCTGAGTATTGGCCAAATTAAGTTTAAGGCTTTTGACTTGGGAGGCCATCAGATCGCTCGCCGAGTCTGGAAAGATTATTATGCCAAGGTATAATTTCTTTTTTCCTTCTTTGTTTACTGGTTTTGGCTGCGATATTAGGTGCAAGATTGAAGCGCAAATCCCATGTATTGGGTTATTGTGTTTTATCTTTGTTAGGTTTTCTATTTTCTTGATCAAATTTTGGGATTATTTCACAAACCTTCCTTGAGGTTTCTGACCATTTTAGTTGGCTTCGTTGTGGTTTCAAATATAACATCAATTTTAATTTTCATGTAACAAAGTCAGTCCATGTATCTAAAAAATGATATAAAAGTATAATAAGCATTTCCATTCCCGAGCTTCCCTTGCATATTAGCATAATAGATTATACATGGACCAGAAAATGGTGTGAAAAACGCTGCTAAATTTTTCACACCCTCTAAAAGCATTTTCACAGCCCTATTTTCACACCCTCTAAATTCGCCTTCCGTTAGATGCATATTAGCCCAATTTTTATCCCCTTCTGTGTGTTTCCCTTAAGTTCCACTCTAGCATTCACTGATAAGTTTTTTTTCTTGGGGCAAAGTACTATTTTCTTCAGCATGGGATGCTCTATTTGTGGAGCGAATTTCTTTTGTCGTGTTTCTTTGGCTTCTTTTCCCCCCTTGTTTTTTTCCTTGTCCATCCTTTTAATTTTCGAAGAACCAGGTTTTATAATGTGTCTTTTGCTGGTTGAAGTCTCAATAAAAAACTTGCCTTAATATGCTTCAGATAGTAGTGAACCTTGTTATATGCTTAGCAATGTCTATATACCTACTTCAACAATTTTTATCAGTTTATTCTGAATATTTCAAGGTTGTACTATTTTTTTCCAGGTTTACATGAAAGTTCCTTTTTTCCCCCCATGGCTGTGCTTTAGTCTAATATACGAGGTGTAGGGGACCTAAGAGAAGAATTATTAGTTTGGCATCTAACAGAATGAATGGGAACCATCTATATAGAGGATAAATGAGCTTTCTCTCATTTGCCAAGATGTTTAAGTGCCTTCATTAATCCCAAATGAACGTTTTCTATGTTTATTTGATTCATGGGAGGCCAATATCGATGTGGAAGTTCGCTGATAATACCTTTTATATTCCAGAAGGTGTTTCAATAGTACCTTGCCCGACAAATATTAACTTCGCTGTGAAAATGTTGTTTCTATCTTTTTTATGGGTTTATTTTGTTACCTTTAGAAATTATACCTTAGATTATTAATTATCAGTTCCTAAAGTACTCTTGGTTCCTTTATTTGGCTCTATATGTGGAAAATGAATGCAACAAAGAGTATCACATAGCTTTTTTGAGGGATCTATGATGTTTTATGAAACTTCTCGTGTCTGATGAGGATATAGGTTTATTTTTAATGAAGTTAGAAAATAAACAATCTTGCTAATACAGATGGAAGAAATGGTCTTCTTGATGGCATGCAATACATGAACTTTTTCAGCATATTTGACTTTGAACTGTTATGATCTGGAGTGTATGTTTTAAGCTGTTGAGTGCACTTACAGAAAGTTTTGAAGTTGTCAGGTTCTACTAGGTTGAAGGTTAAAGCAGGTTCTTAGATGCCATATTGTGTTTGCACCTGATTTTGTGGCTTGGACTGCTGACATTTTTCAAGTGTGTAGCACAAAATCTTTTAGGACGCTGTGCAAAATTTAGCATTTCATGATTTGTTTTCTTTTCTAATGTTCTTCTCCTTTGACATTCTGGCTTAGGATATGTCTTCATTTTTTAAGCTTTTATGGTGTTGCTAGATCATATTTTGCATGACATGTCAAGCATTCCTTTTTCTGGTGGTGATATACTAGTTTCTGTAGCTAGCTCATGTTCATGCACATGTTCTTTTGATAAAAGAGGCAAAGAAAATCTATTGAGTTGTGGATAGGATTGGATTATATCTTGCTTTTGTTTCTCAGGACCTGGCTGATTTGAAGTTGTTGGTTTTTCTATCCCATTTCTGTAGCAGTTTATCTTTGTTAGATTCTTGCTTAGGAATACTTTTCAAATTGTAATTGGTCAATACCATGTGTATAACATGCAAATTTGGGTGTGAAGGTGGATGCAGTTGTTTATCTCGTGGATGCTTATGACAAAGAAAGGTTTGCAGAATCAAAGAAAGAGCTGGATGCTCTAATAAATATTGCAATGGACCTTGCTTATCTGAGACTAAATCTCTGCTTAAATGCATTGATAGGATGGCCTCCAACTTCCTGTTTTTGAACGGGGCCACGACTCAGTTTATCAGAAATGCACTTGATACTGGATGTAGTAGATACAGTAATCAAAGAGGTAGATCGTTAATTATGAAGCAAAATCATCTGTACTTGAATTGCGTTTGATATCTTCTCTTTGAGCGAGGTAATGAAATTGTTGACCTTTGCATCCCATTTCTGTTCTCTGTCTCTTCTTTTTTTTTTTCGCAGAGACGTTTATTGTTGGAGATGATTTGAATAGACTACATGAATCCTGCGGTTTGAATTTCTATAGCAGTGCTCCACCAATCGGGTTTCAACATTATGCTATGTCTTTCATATTAGGAGGGTGTTGCCTGTTACTTTTCCAACATGTTTAAGTCTCAATAAAACAGCAGGGAGGGGAAGTACAGAGCTGGAAAATGTATTCTAGATTTGTGGACTACAAAGTTATATCAGCTGCATGCACTGGTTTCATCTTTCATGCATTTATCTGCAATCTTTCTATTACTACGTCTATTTTTACATGAGTAGCTTTCTGTGAGAAAATCAACCTTCAAACAGCTTTTCTTCATGTAAAGATCCAGATACTCTTATTCATTTCCATAATCTCATCGGTGGAATAAATATTAAGGTTTGATCATCGAATTTCCGGCCGGCCGAGCGTTGACACTAAGCAAACCATCTTACTCGTTTAACTTTGTAAAATATAGGAAAAAAGACAATGAACTTTACTTTGGCAATTTGGTCAAGCTACATATGCCAAACTACAACTCAGCTGGAATTCCTACCTTAGCTGGTGGTATATCATGCATCCCAGCAGTTGTTGACAGATTTGGCACCAAGAAAGCATGAAGTAGCCAGAGTTAGGAGCTGGAATTTCTACTTTGTGCTGGGCTCTACGTAGCTTCTCAGCAACCCTTGAGTACTGTTGGCCCTGCCATGGCCTCAGTCCTGAGTCCTGACAAAAAATGCTTTGCTTACAATTAAGAGTTCTGGAGTTCAGAAAACTTGTTATCTATAAGAGGCATTCAAATAAAGTATCATTTCTGTGGAGGTATTGATTTATTTTTCAGAATGTGAGAATCTTAATGGGAAAATGATCACACTGCTCTGTAAGTGTTCTCATGAACCTTACCGTATAACAGAAAAAATATGTCACTTTACCTCATGCTGAGAGCCAATACTTTGATCCAATAATACAAGGGGTGATGATCTGAACAGTTTCAAGTCCTTGCAGAATTATTTCCATTAAATTTCATCTAAGGTTTTGAAAGGACTAATATCTTTCTGGACCAGAACTGGCATAGAAGAGGCATCATCTATTATTTTTCTTCACCAATTTTTCTCAAAAGGACAACGGAAATTTGCCTGTTAAACATGCGGCCTTTCATGGTTCTTGAAATTTGAGAGCCATGTTCCAAAACAAGAAATCTGTACGGCCATCCTGTTTAGAAAGCCGGAATTACTCAGAAACTGGGACATCCATAGTGCATAAGGAAGTGAAAACTTCCCTTATGCAGAATAAAGATAGAAGAGCATAATTGTTTCTCTTATGGGCAATAAAATGCTGAAAGAAAACACCAACAGAGTCAGCAGGACGCTACCGGGAATCATGCATTCTCAAAGACGAAAGCACATAACAATCTGTTTACGGAGTACCTTTGAAGTTATGATGTCGTTTTTGGGGAACTACCTAATCTCAAAAATCTCCAGGGACCGAAAGATTTGGGACATTAAGAGAGCAATATAGCTTGTGAAACTCTATATCCCATAGCCAAGAAGAGGCAGGTTGAGTTCATCAGTTTTCATTGGATAATTGGAAGTTATACGTACATATGGTATTAATCATTACCCACGATGCATATCATTACTGTGGCATGTTACTTCCTTCTGACAAAAAAAAAAAATTCCTCAAGAAGAAGACTTGGATAGAAGGATCAAGAGACAATGTTGGAATATTTTATCCAGTCTAGAAGGTTTACCTTCCTTTCAAACGTTTGGGGACAAGTGCGGAAGTTGGTGGCTAATATTACCAAACTCCCTTATTCATATTCCATATGTCTCCATATGTGCTTTTCCTTACAGGTAAGTTGTGTAAAATATCGACTACATATATCTCTTCTTCCATAGAATTTTTCCAAGTGGCATAATTGATTGACAGGAAATCAAAGCATAGAGTAACATCATCTATATTTCCTCCAACCATCCTTTAAATTCCAAAAATAGCATGAAAGTTTGTCCATTTTCCTTATTCTAGCATCCTAACAATGGTCTATTTAATTACATCCTTGATAGTCTCAATCTTTTCAGTGAGATGGAGATGCTTCATGCTTTCACTATTTATGGCTATTTCCTGCTGCAACTTAGGTAATAGTGTTTCCTGAACAACTGCAACTGATTTATCTTTTCTTCGGTTCTCATGTTAGCTGATTTCCCATCAGTGGGCATCTGCCTATGTACAATAATCCTGAACATTTTTGTTTATACAAACAATCAACAGGGCATACACAGGATGCAAATCAAGACAATAACCCAACCTTTTTGTGCTTCAACAACAAAGTAGTGAGTAACATGTTAATAAAGCATATCTACAAGACCTCCCTGGCTTCCTTTGCCCCCCCCCCCCTCCTTTCTTTTATGTTTTGGTGTGTCTTTTTTCTCTCTCTAAAGATCAATTGTTATCTGCTGATTAAAGGGGTGAAGGGCTCCCTCTAACTACCTTTTGTTTTCCTTCTGGAATATGACTGAAACAGACTTATATTGGCTGTGATCAAGCAGATAGATTAAACCATAGTGGTGTCATATACATCCCAAGCAACAGTACAGAGAAATTCTGCAAAGGACCTTGCTTTTTGGAGACCAAGCTGCTACTGAAGTGCATTGACAAGTTGGCTCCTAACTATCTATTCGACAATAAAGCCACAACTCAAGACATAAGCAATGCACTTGATTCTGGATGCAGCTGTTGTGAGAACCCCAAAAATGGATATAAGCAAGTGCATATTTCATTTGCATTTCTTTTAATTCTTTAATAAATTTTAGCATTACTTTCACTTGTTTGCAGATAAGTACGTAAAAACAATTTTATGAGAAAATAATATAATTTTACTAAACTATGAATTTTTTTTATGCTTCGATAGATTAAATTAATACTTTTAAAATTAAATTAATCTAAAACGTTAGAATATTTAGATTCCTTCATGCTAAATTAATGATACTCGAGCCGATTAATCTTATTACCTTAAAATAAATTACTTGAAATTTAATGATTAATTCTAATTAGTTGCTAGCGTTATATGTTAAAAGGAAATTTTTCACGATAAGACGAAATCAATGAATTTTAGATAAATATAATACAAGTATGCGAAACATACTTAAAGCATGAAGTTACGATAATTAAAGTCTTGCATGACTAGTGTATAATTAGGCGTTCAAATCACACTTGGGAATAATTTTTGGAATTAAATTAGAATTGAGAATTTAAGTAGAGGTTAGGAATAAAAATGAAAAGACTAAAATGCCCCCATACAACCCCAACATTTCCATGCAAAACCAAACAATCCCTCTGACAGCATCCTAACTCCTAAGCACCGCACCATCCGGCCAATAGAAATTTTTTTACCATCTCAACACTCAACCTCCCTTCTCAAAACAGCGGCACCATCCCTTTTCCTCTTCATTACTATATTACAAACCACCACTGCACTCCTACTCTGCCTTGTTACCATCGACGAAGGGAGGGAGTGAGAGAGAGCCGCACTCTACAAACCGAGAGAGGGGAATCCGCGAGCTGCAAAACAAATTTTCTGGTTCTGACCGTGAGTTGAAGGAAGAAAGGGAGAGGTCGTGCGTGAGTCTCCTCCGTTTTCTTTTCAACCTCCACCAGCTGCAACCATCTTCACCGCAACACCATTCCAGCTGCAAACCAAAAACCAGGATCAAATAGTGTGCGCGAGCTGAGAGAGCAAAACTTCATAGCTTTCTTGTGCGTGAGCTGAGTTCCTAGCTGAGGTAAATTCGAGTCTTAAAATAGCTATTTGCTGGTAGATGAAGCTGTATCAGAGCTTGCATGTGTTGTTTGTGCAGTCGGATGATGAAATCAAAGTTGTGGAAAAATCTGTTTTGGAAGTAAAAGTTTCTGCCGAGAGTCTGACTGGTTTAATGCCGCTTCATTTGGTTTAATTTTGCTGTTTTGAGCCTCTAACCATGATTAACTAGTAAATTTCAAGATGATTAAGCTCTGCATGTAGCTAATTAACGGGTTTAACTCAGAAAAATAAAGATGAACAAGAAAACCTGCTGCATGCAAGATCATCCGAGAATAGTTGGAGGAATTTCTGGATTTGTGGGTGTTTATAACTGCTGACCGAACCTGTTTTGAACTGGATATGATAAGTAAATTCTTTAGGTGGCTTTGCATGTTGATTTGTGCGTATTGGATGATTAAATTAGAAGCATAAGAAACCTTGATTTGGAAAGAAATGGACTGCCGAGTAGCTGAAATGAAAAGGCAGCACTAATCTGTTTATTTGGTAACAATTTGAACTGGTGAATGTGATTACCTCACTAATAATAAGGTAATTAAGTCTGGCATGAGGCTAAGTAGCTCGGCTAACCAAGAAAATAAAATGAAAACAGAAAATTTCTTCATGCATGCTCATCCGTGACTAGCTGGACAAATTTCTGGATTTTTGGGATGTTTGTAGTTGTTACTCGAATTCGATTTTGAACCAGAAATGTTAATTAGCTAGCCAAAGGTTCACATGACGAATTTGAGAATCTAAAACCATGTTTTAACCGAGGAAAAGTTGGATTTATAAACACCTAAGTGCTGGAAAAATTCTTGATAGCCGAGAGGCTTGAGCAGAAATTTCAGTTTGTTTTCTTTTTGGAACTTTAACCTGTTTCCGGATTTTCCTTAGGGTGTCATGGTTTTGAAATGCATCAGAAATATGTGTTTTAAGCTGCATAAGTTGTTTAACTATGAATCATTTGATATGATGGAAGTTTGAACTAAGAATGTGG